ATAAAGCAAATGTGTTTGAAATAGGGAGGTTGTTGTATTATTACATATGTTAAATAAAATCCAATAGTGATCATAAGATCTGGATTTACAGATTAATAATTTGATTCTATAACATAATTAGTGCAGTAGAAAAATAGTAAGTAAACCTTGTCTAAAAAATTACATATAATATGAATTCATTATAATTTAGTAAAATTTCTTAATCATAGTTTAAGCAACCAACTCTATGCAATTTTCGACTAGTTCTCTGTGCTCTTTAAATAGATGATACTTAAGTACTGAAAGTGAATTTACTTTTTAAAATTCAATATCTCAATCTAATAAAAATAGTGTAATGCTCTTAAAAATAACAACAAATAGACCAAATTATGAGTCTGATGCTGGAATTCTTCAGCTTCAAATGCAGCTAATTATTCTTAGTACTCAGATAAGAATAATTATGAATCCCAATGCAGTAATTATAACCCAACATGCAGGTCTACTAAAGCTAGACTTTAAGAATAGTAAAAAAAGATTTATGTAAAAATTACCAATCTTAGATTAAAATAAAGATTCTTTAAATTATAAATATATATATGAATATCTATTTTAATTTATTTCATAGATCAATTTGTAACTTAATGTGGATCAGTGAATGGTGAGACAGGGCTAAATTTTTGATGTAATATTGATATCATAATAATTAATATAAATCTAAAGGGTCGTACTGAATGTTAAGTAAATAATTTAGAATTCATATATTATGTCGGCTCATGATAATTTTTTATGGTGAGAAAGAGATTGCAGTAAAAATAATTGATAAAAATAAGTAATTTAAAACAAAAAATAATTACTTTAGAATTAAAATAGACTTAAGTAAAAAAAGAAAATTTTGGGTAAGCTTAACTAAAACAGTATGTAGAATACCTTAAATTGATCTTTTTAATAATCTATAAAATTTTAATTAATTATCTTTTGAGTGCTATTATTATAATGATCACCTTAATAATTATAAAAATTAAATTATTTTTAGTTTTAAAATTGAAATTTAAATAATATTGAATTATATATAAAACAAAACTTCTTTTTTTTTTTAAATATAGTTTTAGAATTGATTTAATGATTATGGTATTTTATAAAAAAATAAAAATTCCTTTTCAAAAACATATAATTTGCAATTTTGATTATGCATGTAAATATGGGAAAATTTATTTTATGCCACAATCTTACAAAAAAACAATTGTAGACCACTAGTATTTCCTGATGCTAATCTAATAGTTCCAAATTCTCCCCAAGATATTCCAAATGATGCTTGAACTCTCCAATTATCAAATCCATCTTAACCAATAACTAATGAAAAGTAATTTGCTTTTTTATATATAAAACTACAAACAGATAATACTCCAGAACTATAAGATTACCATCTACTAGCATCAACTATTACTTATAAAGAATGTTCTCGTAATGAATAGTAAAAACACAAATTTACACCGTCATGCTTAATGCACGATATAATACTCCATGATGCAAATCATGAGTATTTACACCAGCTATGGGATTTGCCAGTATATGGATATTCAGACTCAGTTAAAATCCCTTAATTTCTCGCATACATATATGCACTTGTAGTTTCATGAAATTCCCATGAATCATCTCATGCTCCTCCTCCTACTTCACCAAACCTACAATCCAATCCATGAGATTCTGTGCTGATAATGTTACATTTATTCCTTTTTTAATGGCATATTCTGCTTCATGACACTATGATTTCTCATCTACAATATAGTGTTTTCCCATGTTTCAGAGCCCATCTTTCGAAGTCAAAATCAGATTCTAAATTTACTTAGTAGAGACATAAAATAATTATTATAATGATTACCAGTAGTTGCAAAAATATTTTTCATTAAATATAATTGCAGAGCAAAAGGTAGAATATCGTTTTATTCTATAAAATGAATTTAAAGCAAACTCATGCAATAATCACCCCTTTTTTGATTTTTTTTACTATCCAATATTGTATATTTATCTCTCTTATATTACCCTAGAGCTTATAACAGGATTAATAGTAATAAAAAGCTTTTTGGAGATACTGCTAAGAAAATAACAATCTTTTAAAAAGTTATTAAAGTAGTGATAGCAGAATTACTATATGATACGGGAGATGTAAGATTAAAATCTTAATATGTTTATGTCAAAAGACTCAATTTAGGTATCAGTTAATATTTAATTAAGATTATATTTAGACTTTAATTTTTTCTCAACTTAAAATGGAAAAGTAAATTTAGTAAAAGATTGACCAAAAATAAAAATTACAAAATTCATTAAAAATAGGTTGATAGTATACACAATAAAGCTATAGAATTACAAAGTCAAACTTATTTGTACATGTTCTCCTTTAAGATTACATCAACAATTATCATTCTAAATTAGTATGCCAAGCTATTGATGAGATATGATAATATTTTACACCGGTATTTATTTGCAGATACAATCACTACATAAGTTTTATGTAATCATTACCTTTACTTTTTTGCATAGCATTCAGAAGCCCAATAGAAAATTAGAGAAGAAATTTTAATACATTCACTGAGGAACACATATGGGATGATATTCACATTGTTGCAATCAGTTTCTAAATAACATTTTATAAACCTTGAAGATTTTGATAATAAAAGATGGCTAACCCCTGAGCCAATCGTAAATAATGACAACTTCACATATAGATAAACTTGAATCTAATATTGCTTTACATTCCTTTTTCAGCAGGTCCAAAGAATTGCATAGGATAGCATATGGAATTGATACAAACAAAAATAATTCTATCTTTAAGTAAAAAATAGTTTATTATATAGCCCAATATACATGTAGTACCTAAATTGACTTTAAGATTTGTATATCAGTATAACCTAGTAACTATATGAGATTAAGCAAAATTAAAGAAATCAACAACGACTGAATATTATGAATATTATTATCATTATTTTTTTAAATATTTAGAATTGATTTTTCAAATATAGTTATTAATAAATATTAGTATTTTCATAGTAAAACTAATAAAAATTACAAAAATTATGATAGAAAATACTAAACATTATTTCTTTATGAGATAGTTTTATTATTTAAAAACAATATTTTTTATGTTGTTTGATACTTGAATTCATGACCAAATCAACATTAAATATTCGTATATTTTCTTGATTGAAACAAATATCAAAATTAATTGAATAAATGTTGTGTTTGTAAAACTAAACAGATTTTCTTTTTAAAACTTTAAAGTCAAAATTTACAAGGTTTCTCTTAAAAAGTATTAAACTAAAGTAAAAATTTATTAATTCTAACATTTCCACTTCTAAACTTTACAAATAAACTACTAATTTGATAAATAAAACTAACTATCAAAGATTTGTATCTAATAAGTTTCTCAAAATAGCCACACAGTCTTATTTAACCAATTAAATGGTCTAAAATAAAATTTTTGGTTTTACTTCTATAAACTAGGAATTCTACTATAACATCAAAAGATACAGTAGCCTTAATCTGATTTAAACCCTTTAAATGTTGGGGAATTTCTTTTGAATAAGAAAAGTTGAAAAAATAGTTTATCGATAGCAACTTCACCAAAGAAATGAAATAATAGGAACCATCATGACATATCTTAAGGAGAGTATTTCTATTATTGAATTATTCTGAGTTTCTTTAGAAAACTGTTCATGGAAACACCTTTTAAATAATGATGTTTATTTCAATTTCCTTATGTCAAAACAAACAATATAATTAGTTAAAACTAATAATGTTTTAACTGATTTGAGTCACATATGAAGTGTGATCATTCATAGACAATAATTAAATTTTTATCAATATTTTTTAATCTATTTAGATATTTTATTTAACCTTAAAACAATTCGTTTTATTTAATAAGCCAATTTTTCCCTTAGATTGAAATTATGAGCTGGCTTGCAAACTTTATTATTATAAGAGTAATTCTTTTATGCAAAATGAAAAAATAAGTAGAATCACCTCTTTCCCTTTTGAAAAAATATCATTTAATCTAATCTTCAAATATAAATTAATTGATGTAAGAATAATTAAATAATGCATATAAAAGTCAAGTCAAAAAAACGTTATTTTTTTGCACAATGATAACATATAAGAAATCTTTTTGAAACCAATTTAAACCCACCTTCAATTTTAGAAAATTAGCTTTTTGAAAGGCAATTAAATTATTTACATGAAAAATATGTCCAAATAGAATTTTGACATAATTAATGGATTTGAATGGGATATAAAAGGTAGATTTAAATAATTTAATTATTTTTGTTCGAATTCTTAGACTTGAAATATTTAGATTGCATTTCAAGCCCTTAAAGCTTTTCGATATCTATTTAATTCTTAATTTAAATATTCAATCTTTTTTATTGCTTAATTTCTATTTGATCTACATAATTGAAGAAATTTAATTCAACTTAAGACCTTTATTTTTTTGGTAATGAAACCTTTAAATAATCACTAATATCATTTAATATAAAATTATTTAAACAAATTAATAATTTAATTTATAAATCAATTTTGAATTAATATTTTGAGGAAGATTAAATGGAAAAGAATATTAATACTTATTTACTCAATTTCTTTCAACTTTAATAGTTGTTTAAATGAATTTATTTGTATAAAATATGCATTCTTCAAAAATATGAGAATTATTACATATTATATTACAATCAGTACTTTAAAGCTTTAAATTTATTCGGATTTATGAAATATTCATATTTATGATTCTAAAATAATTGATTCTTAGAGTATTAGTATTTTAGATTTTAGGTATAACAAAGGTAATTATGAAAGTTGATTTCAAGATTATATTAATGAAAAATAATATTTGAACAAACTCATAAAATATCTAATATTTAAATTAAAGAAAATATTTCTGTTTATGAGTAAATCATAAAAAGAGGATAATTTGAAGTCTTAAATAGAGACTGAAAGAGAAGATAAAAAAATTTGTGGGATTGTCAATTTCACATTCAAATTTCGAGAAGGTGAATAATTAGAATACAAAGTTGATGATTGCTTGATAGAAAATCATTACTTGATAGATGGCGATTCCAAAGATTTTATTTGTCCAGATGATCTGAATATTAATTATTGTTATTTAAATGAACAAGGAGAATAAATTTAGTTAGATGTAGAAGACTATGAGATAGATAATATTTCTGACCTTGATAGTAGTTTTTAGTAACATCAAGGAGAAACTTCATTTTTTTTTGTATAATATATGGTAATAAGTCCAAATCATTAATTTATATTTTTATGTGTAGATATAAAAATGGTAAATTAGAAAGAGTCATATAGAATGATAGTAATTGATATTAAGAATTAAGAGGTTAGGAAATAATTTTACATAAATTATTTTATAGGATAACAAAAACCATAATTTTCAAATGATGGTAATGTTGCAATTATAGATATTTCTAAAAATGAAAAAGGATCAAGATATTTATTTTTTGATCTTTAAAATGATTGTTAAAATGTTTCAATCTTTCAATTTGATTAACATTTATTACGGATAGAATATGATGAGAAATCTAAGTGNTAAATAATGACAACTTCACATATAGATAAACTTGAATCTAATATTGCTTTACATTCCTTTTTCAGCAGGTCCAAAGAATTGCATAGGATAGCATATGGAATTGATACAAACAAAAATAATTCTATCTTTAAGTAAAAAATAGTTTATTATATAGCCCAATATACATGTAGTACCTAAATTGACTTTAAGATTTGTATATCAGTATAACCTAGTAACTATATGAGATTAAGCAAAATTAAAGAAATCAACAACGACTGAATATTATGAATATTATTATCATTATTTTTTTAAATATTTAGAATTGATTTTTCAAATATAGTTATTAATAAATATTAGTATTTTCATAGTAAAACTAATAAAAATTACAAAAATTATGATAGAAAATACTAAACATTATTTCTTTATGAGATAGTTTTATTATTTAAAAACAATATTTTTTATGTTGTTTGATACTTGAATTCATGACCAAATCAACATTAAATATTCGTATATTTTCTTGATTGAAACAAATATCAAAATTAATTGAATAAATGTTGTGTTTGTAAAACTAAACAGATTTTCTTTTTAAAACTTTAAAGTCAAAATTTACAAGGTTTCTCTTAAAAAGTATTAAACTAAAGTAAAAATTTATTAATTCTAACATTTCCACTTCTAAACTTTACAAATAAACTACTAATTTGATAAATAAAACTAACTATCAAAGATTTGTATCTAATAAGTTTCTCAAAATAGCCACACAGTCTTATTTAACCAATTAAATGGTCTAAAATAAAATTTTTGGTTTTACTTCTATAAACTAGGAATTCTACTATAACATCAAAAGATACAGTAGCCTTAATCTGATTTAAACCCTTTAAATGTTGGGGAATTTCTTTTGAATAAGAAAAGTTGAAAAAATAGTTTATCGATAGCAACTTCACCAAAGAAATGAAATAATAGGAACCATCATGACATATCTTAAGGAGAGTATTTCTATTATTGAATTATTCTGAGTTTCTTTAGAAAACTGTTCATGGAAACACCTTTTAAATAATGATGTTTATTTCAATTTCCTTATGTCAAAACAAACAATATAATTAGTTAAAACTAATAATGTTTTAACTGATTTGAGTCACATATGAAGTGTGATCATTCATAGACAATAATTAAATTTTTATCAATATTTTTTAATCTATTTAGATATTTTATTTAACCTTAAAACAATTCGTTTTATTTAATAAGCCAATTTTTCCCTTAGATTGAAATTATGAGCTGGCTTGCAAACTTTATTATTATAAGAGTAATTCTTTTATGCAAAATGAAAAAATAAGTAGAATCACCTCTTTCCCTTTTGAAAAAATATCATTTAATCTAATCTTCAAATATAAATTAATTGATGTAAGAATAATTAAATAATGCATATAAAAGTCAAGTCAAAAAAACGTTATTTTTTTGCACAATGATAACATATAAGAAATCTTTTTGAAACCAATTTAAACCCACCTTCAATTTTAGAAAATTAGCTTTTTGAAAGGCAATTAAATTATTTACATGAAAAATATGTCCAAATAGAATTTTGACATAATTAATGGATTTGAATGGGATATAAAAGGTAGATTTAAATAATTTAATTATTTTTGTTCGAATTCTTAGACTTGAAATATTTAGATTGCATTTCAAGCCCTTAAAGCTTTTCGATATCTATTTAATTCTTAATTTAAATATTCAATCTTTTTTATTGCTTAATTTCTATTTGATCTACATAATTGAAGAAATTTAATTCAACTTAAGACCTTTATTTTTTTGGTAATGAAACCTTTAAATAATCACTAATATCATTTAATATAAAATTATTTAAACAAATTAATAATTTAATTTATAAATCAATTTTGAATTAATATTTTGAGGAAGATTAAATGGAAAAGAATATTAATACTTATTTACTCAATTTCTTTCAACTTTAATAGTTGTTTAAATGAATTTATTTGTATAAAATATGCATTCTTCAAAAATATGAGAATTATTACATATTATATTACAATCAGTACTTTAAAGCTTTAAATTTATTCGGATTTATGAAATATTCATATTTATGATTCTAAAATAATTGATTCTTAGAGTATTAGTATTTTAGATTTTAGGTATAACAAAGGTAATTATGAAAGTTGATTTCAAGATTATATTAATGAAAAATAATATTTGAACAAACTCATAAAATATCTAATATTTAAATTAAAGAAAATATTTCTGTTTATGAGTAAATCATAAAAAGAGGATAATTTGAAGTCTTAAATAGAGACTGAAAGAGAAGATAAAAAAATTTGTGGGATTGTCAATTTCACATTCAAATTTCGAGAAGGTGAATAATTAGAATACAAAGTTGATGATTGCTTGATAGAAAATCATTACTTGATAGATGGCGATTCCAAAGATTTTATTTGTCCAGATGATCTGAATATTAATTATTGTTATTTAAATGAACAAGGAGAATAAATTTAGTTAGATGTAGAAGACTATGAGATAGATAATATTTCTGACCTTGATAGTAGTTTTTAGTAACATCAAGGAGAAACTTCATTTTTTTTTGTATAATATATGGTAATAAGTCCAAATCATTAATTTATATTTTTATGTGTAGATATAAAAATGGTAAATTAGAAAGAGTCATATAGAATGATAGTAATTGATATTAAGAATTAAGAGGTTAGGAAATAATTTTACATAAATTATTTTATAGGATAACAAAAACCATAATTTTCAAATGATGGTAATGTTGCAATTATAGATATTTCTAAAAATGAAAAAGGATCAAGATATTTATTTTTTGATCTTTAAAATGATTGTTAAAATGTTTCAATCTTTCAATTTGATTAACATTTATTACGGATAGAATATGATGAGAAATCTAAGTGTTTTTTTTATATACAATCAGATGGTGAAATAATTAAATAACCAATCAATTTTGAAGATTACACAATTGATTAATCTAAATGTTAGAAATTTCAGATCTGTCCAATATTAAATAAATATCTTGATTACAATATTCGGTTTTATTTACTTTATGATTCTATTGGGCTTCTTTTGGATGATTATGGTTTATTTATTATTATTAGAATGGGAGAAAATTGTAAAGTCCTTAGGAATTATAACTATGAATCTTATCGTCCAGTGTATATACTTAATAAGGCTTTTGTTATTGCATCCGATTACGATAAGAATATTCTCCTTTTTATAGATATTTTAAAAGGAAAATTAATAAGAAAAAGTGAATTTACTTAAAGACCAAATAAATACTAATATTATTATCCTCCAAAAAAATCTTATTATATTTCTTATCTATTTTATTCCCCTTAAGAAGAAAATAGTGATTTTGAAGATTGGAATATGATGAGGCCTTAATTAGAAAAGAGATACAAATGGATAATTTTTGATGTAATTAGAGGAATTGAGAAAGAAGTCAATAAAACAATATTAACTTAGGATGATATAAAAAGATCTATATTTACGCACGATTTTGTAGCTTAAACATATAAAAATAAAGTTAGTTTTCAGCTTAAATTATGAATTTTAGAAAACATTAATAATAATCAATAATGATATTTATAAATAATATCATTTTATTACCCCCTACATAATTGCAGTTTTAAAGTTTCTTCATACTTATTTATCATAATCCTGAATTTAATCAGAATTAATTAACAGGCATTTAATTTATCAAGCATATCCCAATTAAAAACAAAATTTATAAATTATTATTTTCTTTAGGTCCAATATTTTGTATTGAAAGTACAATTCTTTTAAAATTATGGATTTAATGTTTTCTTCAATTATGTTCATAAAATAATCTAATTTTACTGAAGAAATCTTAAGCTATCTTTTAATCTATTATAAATTATAAAAATTACTTTCTATATTTCCTTTAGAGCTACAAATTTCTAATTTAGATCTTTATGATTACTTTCCTTAAACTTTTTTTCTAAAACTTAAATCTACTAATAATTGAAGCATCATTTGAGAAGAATATTCCAGATTATTTCATTTCAGCCAGTTCAGGTAATATTTAGAATTTAGATGAAGTGAATTGAATTGAAAAATTCTGGGGCTTTATATAAAGATATGTTCTAAATTTAAAGCAACAAGAAATTGAATTTACCTTTGCCATAAACATTGTTCTCTTCCTTATATCTAAATAATAAATTTTTTGAAATATCATAAAGTTTAATTTCTTTTTTGTGAGATAATTTATGTATTCTGATTTTATTTTTTTCTAGTGCAATCATTTTTTAGACTCATTTTCCCATATGAAGGAATGAAATAGGCAAATCATGATATGGACACATATTTAAAAAAAATTGGAATATTTATTGTTGTTAAATCTTCTTACTTAAGTGTATGAACTAATTATTTATTCAATCAAATTACTAAATTCGAATAATCTACATAAACTTAATCTAATTGTTAATCAATCAAATTTTAGATTAACTAATTTTCAAAGATAATCATATTATCAAAATATTCCATCGTTATATCAATTCAAACATAATATTATCCATTTCAAAATCATTATTAGTTTAAAAATATTCTTTTTTCCTTTATTTTCATAATCCATATTAAATTGCTCATTAATAAAGAAAAAATCCAGACCCAGTCCCTCCGCTTTCGCTATTTGATCTTGTTACCAGAAATTAATCTAAAAAATCTATTATTTTTCTATTTATTCCCTAATAAATTCTAATCCCTCATCAACTAAGCTTTATCCTAGACATCAGATGAGTTCTCTTTTCCATAAACAAATGAATGCTTCTTAGATTGGATTTATCTATTTCTTTAAACTTCATATACCATTCTGTCATCACAATCAGTAAATAGTGCTAATGGAAGATAATTTCCATCAACTAAGTCATAAATATCATTCATCTATGTTTTTCATTGAGCTCCTTCTGTCACATTTTCCATAACATATCCCCATCATTATGCTAGCCAACCAATATGAATTTGTAATGCAGATGAAATCGTAAGTTAATTATTTAAATATAAAAATAATATTGAGAGAATTATTGTATTTTAATCTAAATTTTTGTTAAAAAGATATTTGTAATTTTAAATCTATTAAATTTATATAAGAACTCAAAAGATTTATAAGTTCAAAAAGAATAATAATCAATTTTGATTTTGGATTATAAAAATCATACCATATTATGATTAGATTAGTTAATTTATTTGGCATTATATGAACTATATTTATATACAAATGTTTAATAATTACTCATTTCCTCACAAGAATACCATTACAAGAATGGAATTCTTAATTTGGATAAAGGCCACAAGTTTAACAATGACCTTAAAGAGTCTTGATTCTTTGGTAATCCAGTAACAAGAGTCAAGATCCGGAGATTATTCCAATTATATACCCAGGACTAATCCAAATAAACCATCCCCTATCAATTCCATTGGCCATGACATACCTTAA